AATCGGCCTGCCAATTGTCCACTCCCGGGATGTAGATCGCCGAGAGAGCCAGAACTCGATGTTCCGCCCAGGACAGAATCCCGAACACCTCTCGACCCGGGCCACGCTTCTCGTGCCGCCCTGGTGGTTGATGTACGCCACCGCGGTAGCGTTGTCCGACTGGACCCGGACCGCCAGACCCAGGAGCCGGGGCGACCAATGAAGAAGAGATAGGTGAATCGCCCGAAGTTCCAACACATTTATCGACAGACGGGACCCCTACGGCGACCCACGACCCTGCACGGTCAAGGAGCCCAGGACCCCGCCCCAGGTCCGTGGTGACCACCGTCCAATGCACTGGAAGAAAAGACTTCCCCCGCACCAAGACGGGGGATGGAAGCCACCACCGCAGGGAGGCCCCTGCCTCCAGAGAGATCCAAATCTCCCTGTCCAAGGACAGGGAGGACTTGTCCCACTGTACCAGGATGTTCCCCTGCAGGGTCCTGGTATGGTGTTGCGCAAAAGGCACCGCCTCGAAGGAGGCCACCATGAGACCCAGGACCTGCATGCAAAACAGAATGGGCGACCACTGGTGAGCCCTCAGTAGCCGGACCTTGGAACGGAGCTTCAGGAGCTTGTCCCGGGGAAGAAAGACCCGGGCCGCGACAGTGTCCAGAACCAAACCCAGAAACTCCAGGCGTGGTGAAGGCACCAGGCAAGACTTTCGCAGGTTCAGAAGCCACCCGAACTCCTCCAAGGACCGCACCGTGACCCCCAGAGCCGTCACCATGGAAGAATGCGACTCTGCCCGCAGGAGCAGATCGTCCAGGTACCCCACGATCGAAACCCCCCGACAACGCAACAGCGCCAGAATCGGGGCTAGCACCTTGGTGAACACACGTGGGGCCGACGCCAGCCCGAAGGGCAGCGCCAGACCACCCGTCGCAGCCGACCCACCGTAGCAGAGTCTGCATGCGCTCGTCGGTCACCCAGGGGAGACTACAAGGATCTACAGTCATCCAGCCTGTCGCCCTGGGGACACTTGCTAGAAGAAAAATCAAGTCAAACGGAAGAAAGGAAAAAACTTCGCCAGAGAAATTTTTTTTAGCTCCTTACTCCTGACGCTAGGCAAAAAACTGGAGACTTGTCAGCAAGTGAGGGGTTGGGCCACCAGCAGGGGCCGCCCCTAGGCTGTCTTCTCTTTTTGTTATGTGCCTAGCGTCCTACTCCTGCAGGTGGCGATATACCCCCTACCATTCAGGATCTACGATCTGTTGCCCTGTGTCCTTCAATGAACGGGAGAGAAACAAGGATTGTACATAGAACAATATCGGACCTCTGAAAAGTACAAGCATGCATATGTACTCAGTACTTGGTTTGGGCCCCTTTTGCAGCACTTACTGCAATTACTTTTGCACAATATTCTAATTATTCGAGTTTCACCTGTATATTTAAAATCAGGAGAGCAGCCTAGTGACAACCATAGCTTCCCCAATAATTGCTGTTGAGGGAGTGAGCACAACCACCACAAGGACAGGGAATGTGTTATTCAAGGGATTACCAGGTTAAAAATGAAAAAAAGGCCTGAGAAAAACAAATTAGCCACCGCATCTACAGATTGACAAACTGCAATATATAACATGTGGGTGTGAAAAATCATTGACATTATATGAAAATGAATCAGTTTGATGTGCATGCCTGTGATCCCCTTTGCATTACAAGGTTAAGAACAAACAGGTGCTTAGCAGGCAATTAGCTTTGTATTGAAATTAAAATGGATAGCACAGTCAGTACACAACGACAATTTGAAATGGCGCCTTTGTGCGAAACAGTGAAAAACGAAGCACAAAACTGTAGATATGGAACTTATGCTAAAAATCTGTGTTGCGGTAAGGCCTGTTTGTGCCACTTGTGCACTGTGTGTTAAAATGATGCAGGCATACATTTAATCGCAACACAGCGCATTACAACGCACACAGCTGAATTTATTTTAAAAAGAAAAACAAGACAAAAATTAAGCACTGCAATGTGTTCTAACAACGCACTGCAGCGCATGGTGTACACCACAATATGGTGCCTACTTTTGTACGTGTATGTTATGTGTGTGTGTGTGGGAAAGGTTGTTTTATTTCTTTTTTAACTTTATTTTAATTTTCTATTTTTTTTTAATATTGTTGGGGGGCTTTAGGGAAATATCCTGACATTTCTCTTTTGAAATAGAGTCCTCAATCTCTTTTTTTGTCTGCAGCCCCAGCACTGAATTAACAGAAGCACTCAGTACAGAGGCTTCCTGTTCATTCACAAACAGAGGCATAGTACTCTCCCCAGTAATGAATGGGCAGGAAGCCTCTGTACTGAGTGCTCCTGCTCGTTCATAAACTGAGCAACAGTGAGCTTACTATGTCCCTACTTATAAATGAACAGGTAGTGACATCAGCAAATATGTGAAATAATTGCTGATCCTTCAGTGTGCAGAACAAACACCAGTGATCACTCTCCATCCTGACAGCTGCTCTCTCAGCACCCTGTCATCAGCAGCTTGACAGCTATTCAATCATAGGGGACCATCAGGGGGACCCTTCTGTTCTAAGTTTATTGTTGTTAAAGCAACCATGAGCTTATAGCGGAAGGGTGATAGCCAGCGACGTGACATGGCCACCGGAAACGGTTGTTTCGCTGTATGCCTTACTTCGGTGGCAGGGAAAGGGTTAAACCCACTACTTGGGAACTCCGGCTGTCATGGGCACACCCCCTGGGCCCACAGTGTACCACAATGCACAGATGGTTCACATCTCTGTGTTGTGGTGCCACTCAAAACGATTGCTACTACAATGCACAATGGTTCACCTATTACTGCAAACACCAAACATTTGTTCACTGATCTCTCTGCTGAATAAACCCGAAAGCAATGATGATTTTGTAATTTCCGGTTTCCAGGGAAAAAGCTGATCAAGTATCATCTAACAGGATTGTTAAGACGCCCATACACCTTGCAATAAGCGTTCGATTTCCGAACGAAATTGGGTTTTCGTACGATAATTGGCCAGTTGTTGGGAAGTCAACAATCTCAATTACTGTACAACTGGGCAAGTGACAGGAGATAGGGCGTGATTGATTAGGCGCTTACAACAGCCTCTATACACAGCTACTGCTAGATAGAATAGCAAAAGAAATAGTAGGAGCCCCTTTAAGATATACTTCAGGTAAATATAAACACTGCATAATACTTACTTGACATGGATAGTATCATAGCCAGAGCAGCAAACATCCCAGCCATTCCTTGACCACTGAGGAACAAACTGCTATACTGCTGTGGAAATAGAGTCAGGAGCCCAAACAGACTACCCTGTAGAATCGCACAGAAGGCTGCAGTGGGGTAAAAAGACAAATATAAATAAATAAGGACAGACAAAATAAAAACAAAATGAGATTAAAAGATAACATTCCATTTAAAGTGAACCTGTGCCCAGACTGTGAACACTAAAAAAATTACATATTCTGAACAAGCAGTAAAATCACTTTAAAACATATCCTCATTCACCTCTGTGGCTATAAACATTGGGGAGAAATTCATATTTAAGTTGACAGAGGCACTGAAATCTTTTCAAAGCTCTTGTCCCGTTACTTTCTATTGCAACAGAATCTTGGCAGCCTGTAAGCCTTTTAATGTAAGCAAACACCAGGGGGGTCTATTTACAATAAGTAAATTTTTATTATGCTCCTCAAATCCATCTGGTGACAATAATGCAGTATTACATCACAATAAATTCGACCTTAAAAATATATTAAGAACGTTTGTTTTTTCCATTATTCACACAAATCGAATGTTCACAGAAATTTGCAGGGCAAATGGCCCCTCGCATTGTTTATAAATAGACCCCCTAGGTGCTTCTAAGCTGTTACAAATGGACTGAAACCAGTGTTGGACCAGTTCACTCCAGCACGGTCCACTGCTCAACACAGCAACATGAACCACTAAATAGGATTTTTGTACACACCATGAACTACCTTTTTTGGTGTCCATTTAGGGTCGGGAAGTTTTTTTTAGCTTTGGGTTATACTGCTACCTACAGGAGGATAGGACACTGGTAAACAAAAGAACTGTCCAAGATAACCCTCCTTCTACCCACATGCATTAGTTTTGTAGCAAGCACTACCAAGAGCATAATCAAAAACACAGAGGGGTGGGACCTGTGTCCCTCAGTAGACTCCAAGAGAAGGATTTTATGACGGGACACAGGAAGTATTTCACAATCGGGATGTCCAAAAGCAGTTCAACTGAGGTGTGGAAAACAAAAACCATCCGCTAACAAGCCCAACATGAGCAAAAATTAACTAGATAGCCACCTGAAGAACATGAGAACAGGTCCCGCCCCTTAGTTCTTCTAATCTACAGGAGTGTTTACTTGCAATTGTAATACAATTAGCAAATACAATTAAACAAAAAAAAGAACCTTATTTAAAAATTCATAAAGAAATGAAAGCCCCTTCCACCGAGACATGTAGTAGGGATGCAGGTACATAGGCTTTAACTTGATCCATGGGCTTCAAGACTGTGCCTACAACTCTGGAATGCAGAAAACCAAGCCACATTATTTAGGAGCAGCCTACCACTGGAGGAAGACAAGGGCAAAGAAGATGTGGCATCATTGGGTCCAGCCAAGACACCTGGGAAAAAGGGTAAATATACACTTGTTTCATGGGTGCAGGGGTGTTCCATTGTGTGGGAGTGCGACTGTGTACCTGGGTCCAGAGTTAGGCTTTAAAGGGGTTCTATGAGGTGAGTGCTTTTCACTCACCTCATAGTTCTAGCTGACCTGTGACAATGAGACTGTCACAGGTCGGCTCAGTAGATCGGGAGGTGAGCGAACACATACCGGCTTTCGCTCACCTCTCGATCCTGTCACGGCTCTCTGCCGTGACAGGGGAGGGGCTGGATTCCCCCCTCCCCGATCCGCCAGCACTGACTGGCGGAAACGGACAGGGGAGGGGCGGGTACAGCTGGCTCTGCCTCTAGATAGGCAGAGCCAGCTGTCAGTCACGCAGCTGGGCGGATCCAGACATAATTGTCGGGATCCGCTTCAGCTGCGGCGCCTCAGTATATCGCGAGCAGCAGCTGTAGCTCGCGGTATACTGAGCTTAGGGTGACGGGAGGGCGCTAGTTTGTGTCCTCCCGTTATCCTAAGGAGAACTATGGGGAAAAGCCTTAACCCCATAGTTCTCCTTTAAGGCTTGGGAGTCAGAATATAAGCCAATCAACCAGCCTTTTCAGAAGGAGTCCATCAATAGCAGGTTAACATTATGCTATATCCAAATGTTCTCCTGTCCAATATTTACACCACTGAAGGATACAACAAAGGGCAATTACTTCGTATGAAACGGCAAGCTGATTGCATGCAACTACTCAAAAACATATTTACAAGATATGAAGTATTTCTGGTTCTGTCAGTGTATAGGAATGTTTCAAACATATTCATGAACACTGTTAGCAGCTACTTTTTAAAGGCATTTTAGTTTTCTAGGTCAAACCCTGTCAATACTGTTCATTTATATTAAAATCACAATAAACCGACAATTTTATAATACTGAATGAATCGTTAATATATTAAAACGCAAGTAAAATTTTGTTTGATAATAAATTCACAACGCCTCTTTTAAACAGAGCCTAAATGCAGAAAGGGCACAACACTTAACCCGTTTCAAGTGTTTAACTCTCTTAAAAGCTGGACTGACCATTAGCACCTGCCCTCACTATAAAGGTAAAAGAGGAAATTAACTCTTCAAGCTATGCCTAAAAAAGGCAGGCAAAGGGAGAAGGACCAGACACTGGTATTGCTTGTGGTCTTCCTGCAGCCGATCTTTTCCCCATTACTGGCTTACCATGCCAGGGCTTGGTTTCCTAATTTCAGCGTCCCGAGCAACGAGAACAGTGAGCAGTACAGTATTGACATCACCAAATCTCCTGAAACTAGCAGTCAGAGGCAGCTGTGCCTTGGATCTCACACCGCATATTTAAATCTATGAGGTTGCAGGCACAGGAAGCCAAGCCAACCTCACATACCAAGAAGTGCACTGCGATTTTTCAGGAAGAATTCCAAACAAAATGGACTTGTTAGGCACAATCAACACATCCAAATGTTCCCCATAGCATGGCAAATCGTCACTATTTTAATTTAGTTACACCTTAATCTATGACATAGCCTGTATCTCCCTGCACCATCCATGTGCAATGCTGTGGAGAAATCCACTGCCAGGAGTCTTAAACAGGGATGGTCAAAGTATAACTATTAGGTCCCTTTTGCATCTGAGTTCTCTTTATGTGCTAAATAATTTATTCATATAGTTGGTGTTGTCTTGTGTGCAACTGTGCTGAACCCTTCAGTTGGAAAATAAATCATTGGCATTTAGACATGTGCAAATTAAATCACCAGCAATTGATCTCCCCCCCCCCCCCCCCCACAGGCATATACCTGCAAACACATATGTTAACAAGAAGCATGTGTACTTGAGCTGCTCGTAATTTTTTCCACTGATGTTGGTAGCCTGAGGATACAGTGGCAGCCTAGTTTAGCCATAGACAGCCTTGTCATTATTAGACCCCATGAAAATCGCAGGACATCAACCATCTAATATCTGCCCACCTTTACTGTCTACTATAAGATCCAGAACTCCAGTCACCCAGTAAAAAGACATCAGTTGTTTCAAGCAAGTACAAGCACTATAATACATTACAGTTATAAAACTCACATTATTTTTTTAGGAGGAAAAATAATTACCATTGATAAACCATATAGTGGCAAGAGTCAAACTGAAGAAGGTCTGGGCAGCCATCGCAACCTTTACCAAAACAGCAGTGAAGATAAAGAGAGAAAGGATAGCCAACATGCTGCCCGCTATGCGAATTCTTTCAGAAACACTGCAAGAAAAAAAGACAAACGATTAATGAGCTTCAGTAATACACAACACTGGCAGGTGAGCAAAGTGATTCTAAAATCAGATGATTCTCATTCTTACAGTGAATCTTCCATTTGTACGCACATGCAGTTTGCTGCAGAGTTGAACAATGCAATCTGACTTATAAAGAACAGGGTATTTCCCCAAAGTGTAGACAATTTTAAATGAACATATTAAAATGCTATAATCACAGTCCTGCAAGCAGAAGAAGTATTTCCTCCTCTCCTCTTCCCAATGGTTACTCACTAAGACTTCTGCAACACTGTCATTTTCTGGTAGTTCACAAAGTGAGAGCCTACAGCAATAGGCAGAGCTGGGTGAATTATGTATACAACCAAGAACATAGAAACTACTGTTTTATCCACCAGGCTGTACTTGGCTCATCTATAGGTTAGCATCTTCATCCTGGAAGTAAAAGCTGACCCAGAATGATGCCAAAACAAAGCTGGCACCTACCTTCTGGGTAGAAAGGAAGATGAAAGTTGATTACTATGAGAGGTATTAAATACCTTTAAGTGTAACACTTACATAATACTTAGAATCAATGGGCATAATATGAAATACATTTGAAGCTAGCTACTTTAATATCTTTTCCCAAACACAGTTACAAACTTAATGCGTTATCTTCCGATTCACTACACAAGAAATGGTAGTACTTGAAGTTAGAACACAAGAGTATAACCAATCTACAAAACAGGAAAAAACTGTAGCTGATATCTGTGCATGTCAAGAGCAAATGTACTTTGGGTAAAATACAACTGCACTTTCAATACTGTAATGAGCCTAGCACCCTTATATATCAGCAATATAAATGCTATACCTTTTTTCACATGAACTACATTTTGCTGTACTAATATCAACAAAAATGGTGGCCTCTTAAATTAATATTAACAGACCATCCAGCCCCCTGTGGAGGAATGAGTACACTGGAAGTACTCTCCAGTGCTTTACAAGTCTCAGCATTCAATATCATTAATATCCATGGCTCCGTTTTGAGGTTTCCTTTAACAAAATTCTTGGAAACCATTCAGGGTCCTGGCTTTTGCTGGTATAGTGAACAGGCAACCATCCTAAAAAAAATACCCTCAGTTTGGGTATGATGTCCAGATGACCAGATAGCTACATTGCATTCTTGTCTATAAAGTCCTGCCGACTGGCTACATCTATTGCCCACATATCATTAATCATGTCCCACATATGATGGCATATTCAAAGTTAGTTTACTGCAACATATAATGCAAATATAGACACAATATGCATCTCACCATTGATAAATGAATGAGTTGAGGAGTGTACAAAGAAGCAGGGGTAGCTGCGCTAGCAGGGTCATCCAGTTATTAAAATTAAATGCATCCTTTCCACTCTTTAGGTTTTCTGAATCAGACAAATTCCCATTCGCCGAGGAGTTCCCATACAGACGTTCATGGAAATACTGAGACACGAAAAGGTGTGTTAATACATTATATTAAACCAATACATTTAATTACTTTAATAATTGGCAAATAATATAGCGAATACAATCAAACTGTAACGTCTAGGACATGCTTAACATAGCATAATAACTTAAAAACAATGCTTACGTATGCTGGGATTGTGTGAATTATACATGACAATGTTATATTATGTTTTTCTTTATCACATTGGCTTTGAGCATCAACATCTGGAAGAGACTTATAAATAACTAATAAAGAATATACAAAGAGAGGCTGAACATTTAAAAAAAATTCTGAGCACCTACATTAAGCCTAATGTGGTAAGTGTATTTGCAATCTATCTGATTGGAAACTAAAAACAATCTGCTTTCCCTAACTGCTAATTTCATGCATAGCTGAACTAGAGATGCAGAAAATCTGTTGCAGTGATGGGTGCATTTAAGAAGCATTGACATTTGTTGCATCTCCCTCCAAGCAATCTACATTAGAGGACAAAAATGAACACTATCGATGCAGGAAAGAGAAGCAATATTTCATTCAAATCGTTAAGTGTAGCTAAAGCTAAGAACAAAAATGTAACAGCTTACCAGTCCCTAGATGTGGTGACTACATTAGTTTCCTTTTATCTTTAATTTTCACCTGGTGTTCCTGCCAGTAACACAATTCATGCTCTAGTGTCACAGCACTCACTCTACTGGATCTATGGAGGAGCAGTGTTGTCACCCTCACTATTCTTTATATTCATAAGATGAGGGAGGTGTTCTGTAGTCTACAGAGTTGAACAGGCCATAAGAGCTGATAACATTGCTTAGGATTTCAGTTTAGCACAGGCGCAGTTTACAGAAAGTTATAGGCTCATTGGATTCCTGGCAAGATCAATAGGAATACTTCTATACTTGCAGTGTTGCAGAGACAAAATATGGGGAAATGTGACCAGGAGGTGCGTTTGGAGCGCCATTCAAATGAACAGTGTGTTTAACGTTTGGCCTTGAACATGAACGGGCTCCCTCTGACCAGTATCTATTTCAATGCCCTGGCTCCCTCCATGACTTGTCAAACAAGGGCATTTGTTTTAGTACTATAATAAAACCTTAATTACTCAGCATAGCAAAACAAAGTAGAGTGTTGAGCAGCCTCCTATATTAAAAGCTTAGAAGCTTAAGTGACCAAATTGGCCTCTGATATGAAAATTAAAGGAATAGATTTTTTTTTAAAATCTTAGCATTACATGTTATACGTTTTAAACCAAAATGGAAAGAAAAGCACACTAAAAACAATTTGTTTTTTTAAGTCAAGCTTTTAAAGATTAACTTTCTTCATTAGGGTCAAAGTGTTAGTGCTTTGACCTAATATAGGTTGGATCTGTTAGAATAAATACAAAGAACACATATTGTACTTAATTCCTTGCTACAAGTGGACTTAGGCTACATTTACCTTACCAGCATCAACCAAAACCACGCAGCTGCTTCTCACTCCCTGGGTATGAGTAAAACCACCACTTTTTACACTCACTGATTTCTTAAACTACATCATTCTAGTTCTAAGAATCCTCAGAGAAAGAAATGAATGGGAAGTTATAGCAAATTTCAGGCACAGGTGAGATCTGAGGCAAGTGTTCATACTGCGCTCCTGCTTCACCAGGAGTGAGATGTGGTCAGCAGCAGCAATTGGAAATCCAAATAAACCAGAATGTCCCATCAAGTGCATACACCCTCAAAATATGATATCAGTTCACCTTACAGTCAGGTAACTGCATACCGGCATATTGAAGTAGTTTAGCAATGACTAATTTTGTAAATGTGATAAACACAGGTAAACTCACTGGAATAGCCGTGATAAAGAAATTCCATGGTAACAGAGTTCCAAGCCCCAGGATAAAGCAAATAATCCTGACTAAGTAGGCCCTGTGAAGGAAAAATAAATAAATTAGTTTTTAACTATTTCAGTGTGAGATCTTCGAGAGGTAAGGTGTAGAAAAAAAAAATCAAAAGTTCCCTGGGATAGGACAAACTTTGACAACTATGCTAGGTGTTGTTTAGGTGGTCACCTTTTATTCACATGGTTCAGGTTCTTAAAGCAACACTGTTTCTACAACTGCTCACGTCATCCTGGCAGTGTTGTAGTTTGTCCCTAACCCGTCACTTCTGCTGTGTATGTATGCAAAAGTGAAGACATTTATGCAAGAAAAAAAAGTGTGAAAACAAAAAAATTTAAATTCATGTACTGAATGCTGCCAAAATTAAATGGCTTAGTGTTAAACCTATTATACACCATGAACACAATGTTTTACATACCAACATCTAAATTATTCTACACCCAGAGTTAAATCATACAACATTTAAATACAGGATAGGCTATTTCCGGGCTGAGTGTTCCCATCAAAATACATTATATTGCAACACTTCCAGTGCCATGGAACATGATGACATAAGAAGTTACTGATGGTCAGCCCAGGTTGATTGATGTTTGCAGCACCAATGCTCGAGGTCACAAATAAGAAACACATTTGTCCCTTGGAGTGGAAGGTGCAAATAAATGAATGACTTCTTTTCTTTTAGTCACAGGACAAAGGGAACTGGTTTGTCCAGATTCTGTTAATTGTCCTACAGTAACAAACAACCAAGCAGAGAATGTACTGTGAGAAGGCTATATGAAATGGGACATTCTAGAAAGATAAAAACTGAAAATGAAGAAAGTGGACTTATAAGAAGGAACACAAGACAAAACAGAATACATGAAAAGCAAGAAGGGAACAAAGAGAAGATGTGAACAGCAGTGAAATAGTTGAGGCTAGAAGCAGTCACTCACTTGTCCTGCGGCTCATCCTTTTGAGACATCTTGCGATTTCTGTCCTCTGGATGCTGGGGAGTCTTGCCTATTAAACTGGAAAGGCTGTCAGTAGGAGGAGGAGGAGAAAAGACTGTCACGTGGATATTTTCTAAACCCTGGAAGTGCTAACAGGCCTAGCTCCCTGTGTGCTACGCTGAATATTCCTCCCTGTGCGGCCTGTCCTGCGCTTACATTTTTCCTAGAAAATATGCGAGTCCCTTCTTTATGACACACTTGTTTCTTTTCCATGCTACCGTAATTCCTATTTATTTCCCCTGAGAAAGATTCTCCCCTTCCCTAAAATCTGCCCTTTTTCTGTACCGTCCTTCTTTCCTTACACTCATTCTGCTGACAAAACACCCTCAGGCTTCCCTCCCCACTCCCTACTCAAATTCTCACCAGTGTCAGCTGGCCCTTCCCTTTCTCCAGGACACATATGTCCCTCACACAAACTGCCTTTTAATCAGTGACGATGAATTGTAAGTACAATGACCTGCAATTTTCATGGCAAAAGAGTCCATACAGAGGGAAAGTAGCTAGTAATTCCCAGATGCACAGAAATACAGAAAATAGGAAGGTAAAGAAAATCTGCAACTGTATACAAAATGTATATGTCCATAGCCTTCAAACACGCTTAGAATAACACAGGGAATGATATGTTAGATTTATAATGCCCTCAACAAATTGATTTTAACAGTTTAATTGGCAAACAAGTAAGATCTGTTACTGTAAAATTTGATTAGTGAATTTACTTTCTGATCCCTGCACAGCACAGTTCTGCATTTCTGAGGACAACAAAAAAGCTCTTTCTCTATTAAACTCTAACAATAATTTCACTCTTCCTAATTCAATTTCACACATTTAAAGCAACATATATTTTTAAAGTAGTTAATGTGACATTCAGTGCAGGTGAATTCATCTCTGTAATTTAAAGCATATGTACCAGCAGGGGTGCGGAATTCCTATTGCCCGACTCCCGCAACATGCAGTTTTTGGGCGCCGGGCGAATAGTGTTTTTTGTACATTTAGCCCTGCTCCGGACAAGCAGAACGAAATGTACGGTGGGGAACCAGCGCTCGGTTTTATACAAGTGATCTGATCAGATCACTTGTATGAAACGAACAGCAGCAATCCTGTCCAGGGCCCCCCCACCGTGGTTTTCGGGGTCCCCAGCTCCTCTGGGGGACCCGTGACCAGGGCGCATGAGCTCACTATACAGCCCCGTAAAAAACGTAAAAAAATTACGTAACATTATTTTAGAGCTGCAGCTAACGATTATTTTCAAAATCGATTAGTTAGCCGATTATTAAGTTCGATTAATCGGTTAAACAATAAAATAACGTTTTAAAAATGGCTCCAGTGATGGGACTACTAGTTTGTATTGAGGTTGTAGTCCATCACAGGAGCAAGCTTGGAGCGGTGGAAGTAAAAAAGAAAAAAAGATAGTGTGGTGTGCAATATAGTTAAATGGAAAGTGTAAAATTATACAGCAATGAATGCAGAATGGCACCGGCTATAGAGGACTACAAAACCCAGCAATAGTACATTATACAGCGCAATGCAGAATACCACCAGCTATAGAGGAATACAACAAATCCCACAAAATAGTACATTTTAGCTGGTACATAAGTACATTTAGTACATAATCAATTATGTCGATTAGTTGTTGCAGCCCTACATTATTTTTTAACCTCCTGCCGTCCACGCTTTGTGAAAAAACAGACGGACGGCAGACTCACACGGGTGGAATGCTGTTATCAGTCGGCTTTTTTTTTTTCTGCGCGCGCACGGGCAGAAAAAAACCGCCCGTTCTTTACAGCCGTTACTGGCTGTTTGATATACATACGATCGGCGAATCTATAGCCTGCTGATCGTATGTATGTGCTCTCTGGCTGCGTGCCACCGCCCCCCCTCCTGACCCCTCACCTTCAATCCCGGGATCTGCTAGCCCATCTGCGGCCCGGGACCGACTCGGGAGGGCGTCAGGAGGTAAGATGGGAGGGAGATCAGCATCTTCCTCCTTGCTGAACTTCCTCCGAGGTCTGAATGCAGAAGTGATGTGTAAATACATCACTTCCGCATTCACCTGTCAGTCATCTGACTGCTATAGCCAGAGAGAAGAAGCTGATGAAGCAGATCTGTGCTTCAGCTTCTTTTGGGGTTCCAAGGTGACATTAGGGGTCTAGGAGACCCCTAATGTCTCCATAAAAAGGACCGGTCAGTGTGCCTTTACTATTATATACGGGGATTGTTATCCCCCTATGTGATAGCAATAACAATAAATGTAAAAAAAAAAAGTCATATGAAAAAAAAAAAACCCCCCACCACATAAATATTCATTCGATGCGCCAGGGTGCGAAAATGGCAATTGCGCAACACATGTTACATATCGCCGCAAACGTCGGAGTGAGAGCAATAATTTTAGGGCCATCAATCACTGATAACACTAAACTTTTAAAGCGTCGCCTATAGCCAATTTTGGGTATTGTAGTTTTTTGAGTTTTCGCGCGTGCAATTTTAAGGCTTGACATGTTTGGTATCTATTTACCAGACGTGACCCCCTCTTATATTTTAGAAAAAATTGGGTAATAAATGTTTTATCATTTTAATATAGGGGAAACAGTTTTTTGTTTTTTTAATTTTCGGTAATTTTTCCTTAATATATAAGTCGGCCGAACATGCTGAGCCGACCCGAAGCCACTCGAAGCAAGCCGATGTACGGCTGAAATCAGCCGTACCAGCCTGAAGTGAATAGCCGAACAGTGTTCGGCTCACTTCACTTCAGATCGGTCATTCACTCGGCTGCCCTCGGCAGCTTAGTGAATAGACCCCTATGTGTCCCTACAAAATGGTATCAAATTAATTTCAGTACAGCGTTGCATGACGGAATAAATGTCAAAGTACCGCAGCGCTGAATACTGAAAAATTGACTGGACAGAAAGAGGGTGTAAACACCGCAGACTTCAAGTGGTTAAAATTTTAAAAAATAAGTGACATTTTTTTTTTTTTTAAACCAACCCCCCTGCCCCCATCGGCATGCAAATAAACGCACGCGTAGGATAGTGTGTGTGTGCGCTGAGTGCTGCCGCCATTCCACCGTGCGCAATATTGTGGTAGCCAGGCACCAAAACTCTCTTACACGCACAATGTGCATTAAAGGGTAAGTTCACTTTCCCAGGTAATATGGGAAAATGGAAAGACCCGATCAAACCTGACCACGCTGACCAATGAGAAGCGCTATTTAGCACAGTCAAATACAGTGTTGATTAGGGATGCACCAATACAGAGTATTTGGGTGACAACTTGTACTTTCGGGTTATTCACTGGCTACCCCGAAAGGGTCCAGTCTGTTCTGTAATTATTACGTTCTGTGTATTGCCCTTTTAAGAAAATGTTATGGCATTCTACCTTCTATGGCAGCTACCTCATGTATCATTTCCCCCTCTTTTAGATTGTAAGCCCTCAGGGGCAGGGCCCTCCTTACCATCTTGTCTTGAATTGTATTGTAACTGTAATGTCTTCCTTATATTGTAAAGCGCTGCGCAAACTGTTGGCGCTATATAAATACTATGTAATAATAATAATAATTCTGCTCTAAGATATACTGTATGTAGTAGAAGGTGACGAAGCAGGAAGTGTGATTAATAAGAATGGGGCCCTTTTCACAGTCTATCTACCTTTCTGAGCTGCAATAGTGACGAGGATCTGTACATAGTCATTATGGATAAGGATTTTGGAGCAATAGAATCGGGATATTAAATCCTCTGTAGAATGCAGCGTGCTTGACCATCAGAATTAAACAGATCTCAGGTGCTGTGCGATGAATGGTGGGCTATAGACCACATTCACACTTACGTCCGGGGAATCTCACAAATTGCTCCGTAAGACCAAGTGGGCCAGCCCCCGCAGCTATTTACATGTAATTGGATATGAAGTGTTTACCTGCAGATGGTTGCCCCCAGACTCCGTCCAGGGGCAATCATCTGCAGATAATCACTGCATGTCCGATTACACGCAAGCGGCTGCGGGCCCTGTCAGCCTCCCATTGCTTTGTATCGCGATTATCACCACTTGGAGGTATTCAGGAATTTGCCCCAAACGCCAGTGTGAATCAGGCCATACTCCTGGCTCTATGGCACAGTACAATGAATAGATGTGGAGCACACTCACAATTCTATCAATATGCCCTGCCAAAAAGAAAATGAAGTATGCAGATAAATATAGAAACGAAGAAGCTGAATGCCTAATCAGTGTCGGCAGAAAAAAAAAAGAAGCATTTCCAGAGCGAAATTGCTGCGTCAGCTATTAATAAGAGGAACAACTTCAGAGAATATCATCAAAAGCAGAACGACTTCCTCTGCGTGCCAATGGAACAGCTTTCCTGACAGAACGTGCTAATAAATGGACGATGTGAGCGGGACAACACTGACCTGTGAGATGGATCTGTATGAGGAGAGAAGTGCCCATGCTTCTAACACGTGGCTCGGGGAAAACCCCAAACTACTCGCCCCCTCTCTCACACACATTCATTATGAGACAACAACTGCTCGTGCTAAGGAATCGAATGAAAAAAACGTGCCCTATGTAGGTTCTCCGCCGGCGCCTCTCCTACACCTGATCATGGCTCCCCCCCTGCACCACCGCGCGGGTACAGCAAGGAAAAGACACCTCAGGATAAACTCTCAGCAATGGCCACTGACATGTACTGCACAGCTCACAATGATGACGGAATACTAGGACTAGCACAGCTAAGCAATGAAATACCTTTCTTATATAGAGGATCTTCTCTGAATCCGGCGCCCGGTTATTTTCCCGCTCTTTCTCTTCTCAGTATTGGCGGGAAAGAAGAGAACGTCCCCCGTGAAGTTGTGTACTGTAATACAGAGACTATAGCCTTTTATTGTCCTAGACGTGAGGCTGACTGGAAAAGATGCTGTGTGGAGTTTTTGGTTGGTACAAATTTCCGAAAACAAAAACTCCGGCCATTTTAAATATTAACTCTTGCAGTGGAGCTACTCATGCACTGCAGGGGTGAAGAGCTCGTTTTGGTCTAGGCAAGGTCTAAAAGATATACTCACCTGATCCTCGGCCCTGTCTGGATGTTAGAGAGGTCTCCGCAGTGTTTCCTCCCCTAGGCTCAGGCAGTCTAAGTA